TTTGAGGCAAAATTCATGTTCTTCAAAGGCCGCCATGCTGCCCCTTTGTCAGGACAATCTGGAGCCAATAAAAAACAATCCATATACACTTGACCCAGATTGTATCCCACTGAGGGCCAGAGCCTCATCCATCCAGACAATTAATGGCTAGAGGAGCCCTGAGAAATCAGATCCAAAGAAGGAAAATGAGTGGGTCATTCAAAAAGCCAGAATTTGAGGGTCAAGGTCAAACAAGGTCATAGCTTCAGAGGGTTCTAAATGGAACAGAACTGCCCTAGGAATTAAGCCAATTCTTTAATATTTTTTTCTAGGATGAACCAATGCCTTCTAATAACTCCGAGCTTAGGGTAGGGCTCCTCATCTGCACTATCAGTATTTTCGATGGGATACTCTTTGTTGGATGGACTCCTCATGTGGCACTATAAGATAAGCACTAAACTGCTAACCACCAGCCACTCTTTGGAAACCCTACATAGGGTCGCTGTGAGTCAGAACTGACTCAATGGCACTTACTTAACAACAGTAACAATTTCTTTGTTGAAGTATTATAAGGATGCTGAGTATCAGCCCTGGCCTCTACACACTGGGTTCCAGTAGCAAATACTACACACACACACACACACACACACACTCCCAAAAGTAACAATCAAATATGGTTCCAAACATAAAACAAAATCCGCTGCCACCAAGTCAATTTTGACTCACAGCAGCTGTTAAATATCCCCTGGTGGACGCAAAATCATCCCCAGCTGAGAATCAGCGCTGAGCAAGTAAGAGTTCTGGTTTGTTAGGGAATAAGGGGCTCCAGGAGTCAAGATTTTTCATTTTTAAACCTAGGTCATCCCAGTTCCTTCCTAACTGCCCTAACTCTGCTCTATGTGCTATTGTTGTTGTTGTTGTTAAGTGCCATCAAGTCGACTCCAACTCATGCTGATTTGATGTAGGGTTTCTGAGGAGCAGTTAGCTGGTAGGTTTGAACTGCCAACCTTGTGATTTGCAGTCCAGTGATGATTCTGCAGTACTACACCAGGAGTCCTGTGTGCTACTAGGCCCACCTAACTCTCAGTGCCTCTCAGACTTTATTTAGCAGGCTTGGTCTGGGGATCTTAGTAAAGTGCACATTCTGAGTCAGCAGTTCAGGAAGGAAGGCTGCACTTCGACTCACTTCCAAAAGGTGGTAGTACTGCTACTCTGGGGACAACGCACTTCAAGTAGTGAAATCTGAGATTGGACTTCAAAAGCTGTCTATTGCCCTTGAGTTGTTTCTGCCTCGTGAGGACCCCAGGTGTGTCAGAGTAGAACTGCACTCCGCTCCACAGGATTTTCAGTGGCTGATTTTGGGAAGTCCTTTTTCTGAGGCACCTCTAAGCCACTGCCAATGAGTTGATGCTGACTTACAGCAGTCCTATCGAACAGAGTAGAACTGCTTCTGAGAGCTTCCAAACTGTAAACCTTTATGGGAGCAGACAATTTCATCCTTCTCCCAAGAAATGGCTGGTGGTTTTGAACTGCTGACCTTGTGATTAGTAACCCAACAATAACTCACTGTATCCTTTGAAACACCTCTCCATGGACTCAACCCTGCAACCTTTTGTAAAATGAAGGCCTGGGCAAATTGACCATTTACATCATTTGGGGGTCTTCATTTTCCACTGAGACTGAAGCTTTGTGCAGGGATGTTTCTGTGGGGTCCACCTGGCTGTTGGTGTAGTGCTTCTTGGCCCTGGCTGCCCATTAGAAATTGGTGAACATTGAAAAAAATACCACTGCCTAGGCCCAACCTTGAAGGTTAGATTGGATTGGTCTGAAGTGGGATCTTATACAGTAGGTTCCTAGATGATTGTAATGTAGAACAAGTTTGAAAACTATGCCATTAAGATGACTAGAGACATTTATGGCATCTTCTCATTTATGAAGAGACTTTGCAATAGATGTGCTGCCCAAGGTCAAGGTCTCTCCAACTTCCTGGTCCTCAAAACCCAGTGAAAGTTGCTGCAGACCAAACCCAATATCTAAGAGCCCCAGCCATGGGCACAGAGGACCTGGTACCTGGGAGACAGAATGTGTCCTGGTGGGCCAACACCCTAAGAGTGCCACCCTTCACTTCCCCAAGCACAGAATTCCATCATTGGTAGGGACCTACTGCTCAGTCTGTAGGACTTATAGGGGTTCGTCTTTGCCTTTTAAACTGACCGTCATTAGAACTGTTTCCTTCCATAATGTCCATAGAGGAACTGAAGGAGGGATCTTTGGCAGAAGCCCTGGATTGGACAGGGAAGCAGGGAGACGTTTATAGAGGCTGTTCTCAGTGTGTGGGGATGGAAGAGTGAGTCATCACCTCTCTCCTTCTCCCTCTGCTGCCAGCCCTTCCCCAGGAGCAGCCTGGCTACACTACACAGGAGCCTGGCCTGAGAATTTGCCTATGCTCTCTAGATTATGTTGGAGAGAGAAAGTGAATAAGGAAAAAGTGCAGCCAAATAGAGCCTCATCATCTCAGTCACCAGACCCACAAGCTAGAATTCCCCATCCCCTGCCCAGAAAGTGATTGGAGTGGAGACTGGGCTACTTCCTCACTGGTTCTTAGTTCTTAATACTTAAAACATAGCACCAGTGATTTGTAGAAATTAGCATTTGGCACAGACTTCTGAGTTACAAATAAGGTAGGGGTGGGAAGAGGGTGGAATGCTTTTGGTGAAAGCTGGCTTCAATGGCTTCTTTCTTTAAAAAGAAAAGGAAAAAAAACCCAAAACCCCATGATGCTGGAAAAACTGGTGAGAAAACATGGTGGCTGCAAGGCTGAGTCTGCCATAGGTTGCCACTGTTTTAGATCCTGGGCCATGGCTGGATGAGATGCTGCTTGTTCTGAAAAGGCAGCAACCCCTGAAGTTATGTCTTGTACACTGAGCTACTCTTCATCTGCCCTCCACCACGATCCTCTGCCCAAGTCCAAGCAGCCGTAATTCAAACCTCCTGGCTCCTCGATTTTAGACATCTTTGTGAAATCCGTGGGTAGCACAAACAGTTAAGCCTTGAGCTGCTTACTGAAAGGTTGGAGATTTGAACCCACCCAGATGCTCCTTGAAAGACAGGACTGGTTACATACACTTCCTGAAAAATCAGCCATTGAAAACTCAGTTCTACTCTGACCCACATGGAATCAACCCAACAACTCCTGCCTTTTTCATTTGTGGTGACATTCTAGTTTGCAACAGGAAAGCTTAATTCTGAAAGTTTGACACATTTTCTCTAGTAAGACTTTACTGAATATTAAATTTCCAACACATTTTTTGTTTGTCTGCGAAGCAAGAGTTTGTCCTCGGTTGGTTCTTTGTTCTCTTTGCCCCTCACCTTTGTTTTGTCCCTCATTGCTGCCTTGTGAATGAATATGGGAAGGAGAGCAGAATTTAGGGAGGAACAAGACAGATCCTATTTCAGGTCTTAATCCTGATGTGTTGTTTTTCCTCCCACCAGTCAAGAAGGAAGAGGTGCTGGTCAGAGCTGGCGAGTATATGGGCCAGCTGCTGGAACAGGCATCCCTGCATTTCTTCGTCACAGCCCGTGTTGACCAAACCAGAGATGTTCTGGCTAAACAGAAGTCTACTGTGCTCAGGATCCCTAAGGTCACCATCAAGGTGAGTGTTAGCATTTTGGATAAGGTTGTTGACATTAGACATCCAGCCTTAGTGTGTACTGTTCCAAAAAATGGAGCCAGAATCCTCCTGTTCTTTGAAAGAAACAAGCCTTCCTTTATATAGACACATACATATAACACTCTTCTCCAGATTTAAATATATCAATGTGACTGCAGATATAAATATACCCTGTGGGTATCAACACACTTGTGGAGGAAGATAAAGATGTGTAATGAATGCAAAGACTTAGAACACTCAGTGTCTCCAGAATAAAGTGGGTCAGTCAGGGCATAGGACACAGGGGCTGCCTGGATCCCCTCCCACCAGCATTTTGACTGTTGTTGTGTGCCGTGGAGTCAGTTCTGACACACAGTGACCCTACACAGGGTTTCCGAGGCTGTAAATCTTTACAGGAGCAGAAAGCTTCATCGTTCTCCTGTGGAACCCCTGGTAGTTTCGAACTGCTGACCTTGCGGCTCGCAGCCCAATTTGTAAACACTACGCTATTGTGTTAATTGGCGTATCATCGGTATGCCCTCATTGTACAAGTTGAAATATACAGCTTTATGACAATGACTCTCTATAAATGTCTACACCCTTAGAACCATCAGGCAAATTAAGATATTGAAGATTTCCAATACCCCAGAAAATTTCTCCTTGTGTTTTCCAGTCAGCAGCCCACCCCCCTCATCCACCCACCCACTCATCACCAAGATAACCACTTTTTATTTTACTCCTGTTAACACTATTCGTTTTGCTAACAGTTTTGGCTAATAGTTTTAACACTGTCTTACCAGATACCATCAGAATTCTGTGTCAAAGGGCTCAAGGGATTTGGCCTCTTTCAAGGAGAGTCAAGGCAGGGCAAGAATGCAGGATGAATTTGGTGGCCAGGCTGCTCCCGTTTCTCAGGAACACAGCCCAAGCTTCTGGCAGCAGCTGTAGTCAGATGCCCGAGAAACGTAATCACCTAGCGAGCTGGAGACCAGACCTACACCTGGGGCCTCTGTAACAGGTGTGGAACCTCAACTCTTAGAGAGCTTTGTCTTGAAATGGGCTAAGAGTGACTAGCACAGGTCCTCTAAACTGTATTTCTGAAAGGGTGCAGACAAGTCAAAATTGTATTAAATGTGTCATATTTTCAGTGGACCTAGACTGGGAGTGTCTTCTTTCATAAAGAACCCTTACTGTGAATCATTTGTGATGTAATAACTATTATGTAGCATTCAATATGGCCACTTTTGTTGTGCACTGACTGGGCTCCAGGCCCTATTATCAAACAACCTCACATACATCATCCCATTTCAACACACAAGAGCTCTAACAGTCTATTAGTACACAAATAGTAATACAAGGGGGCTTAAATGTTCATGGAAAAATTCCATTCTCTTTTTATCCCATTTTCCATGAACTTTTTGAAGTCTCCTTATATCTCCACTTTACAAATCGGACAGTTAGAGAGCAGAACGGGTCTGTACCTTGTCCAGTAGGCTGAAACTAACTCCCTCACTGCTCTGTGTGGTCTGGCCTTGTGTGGACGGTTCCATAAAACCAAACCTACAGACATCAAGCCGGTTCTGATGCACAGTGTCCTTGAATAATAGGGTTACTGGGACTAAATCTTTATAGGAGCAGAAAACCTCAGCTTTCTCCTGAGGAGCTTCTGGTAGGTTTGAACCACCGACCTTGCAGTTGGCAGCCCAATGCTTACCCCACAATACTACAAGGATTCCTTGGCAGACCTAGAGATGAATCCCAAATAGGATATGGATGCTCAGACCCCACACCCCACCCCAAAGACTCAGTAAAACATGAATTTAACACATGTGGCACCATTGACCACCTCCAGGACTGGCCATCTATGAGTGGGAAGACTGGTTCCCCAGAGGCAGGGGAGTCCTCCCCGAGCCCAGCCCACGTGAGCAGGACTCCTAGGTGAACTTAGTCCTGGAACCTCTCCCAGCATGGGCCAGGTCCACATACTCACCCTAATAGTGAAACAGCGGTTTGTCCCCATGTAGGTCTCAGGAGAGATTCTCTCCGCGCTGCGAAGTGCTTAAACCACAATCTAACACCAAATTGATTTGCAACACTGATAATAAATGGAAATATAAAGGAAACTATGTAATGACTTTCATCTTGTTGTTGTTGTTGCTAAGTGCCATCGAGTCAGGATCTGACTCATAGTGACCCTGTATAGGGTTTCCAAGGAGCAGCTGGTGAGTTAGAACTGCCGGCTTTAACGGCCCACAACAATGTTGCAGTTTACTGCATTAACCATCAACGCCACACCAGAAGTTCATCTTGTAGGCATTATTAGCCATCTTCTGGACTTATTTAAAGAACAGTTTAATTCCTCAGGGGTGGAGTTAAAAGACCTCTTCCTACAAGTTAACTAACCTGGGCAGCAAGGGTGATCTGTACTTTTTAATTGTTACTTTGCTTTGTTTTTATTTGCACAAAGATATCAGGGATGCTGTTCCTAGAGAAAACGTGTTTGGAGAAGGGGCTGACAGGACTATTTGGCTGGCCTTCAAACAGGAGAAGGACACATATACTAGTCTGCGCAGTGTCAAGTTATTCAAGAAAGACACAGGCATCTTCACATAAACTGTCCCTAAGAAAATCCATTAACCCCCAAAGACAAACTTATCTGGCCTCGGGAAGAGATACACCTGGGCTAAGCACCTCACATTCTAAAAGCCACCCAGATATTACTGAGCTGTGAATGGCCCTGATTTCAGAAACTATGGCTCATGGAATGGGGATTTGGGGAGCTGCTCAGCAGACTGGGTATATGAAATGTGAAGCTCTGTCGCTTAGATGGGAGTGGCCCATCCTGAATGACTGAGGGAGACAGAGGTCACAGGCAAAGGGAGACTGCTAAATGCAGGAAACAGGTAAACCATAATGGCTCAGGGGTCCAGAATTACCTACAGCATGTCCCCAAATTCTAGGGAAATCCTAGAACCCCACCTTCAATCTCTTGATGGCAGCTGACTGGACCTCTCAGGGTTGCCAGGCACAGGGTGAAACAAACTGAGAGAAAAAAGACCAAGAGGGCCAGAACCTCCCCTTCCTGGGTTTCCATTAGAGAGGAGGGATGAGGCCAGAGTACTTATGGGATAGCAATGGAAGCAGCTGTGATATAGCAAACACGGCATTAAACACTTCCTTTGCAGTACGCTACTTAATCCTCATTATTATTCTGTGAGATGGACATTGTTTTGTAACCCCATTTTACAAATGAAACACAGAGACCCAGAGCGGTAGTGCACCATAGCATAGTGGTCAAAACCTGGGCTCTGGAACAAAATTATCTACATTCAAAGCCTGTGTTCTCTACATAATAACTGTGTAACACTGGACAAATCTTTTAACTTCTCTTAACTTGACTTTTCTTCTGTGAAATACAGATAATGGTAATACCTACTTCCTAGAGTCGCTGTGAGGAGTAAGTGAGTTAATGGTGGATACAGAGTCCCTGGGCAGTGCAAACAGTTACGGTGTCTGACTGCTAAGGAAAGGCTAGAGGTTTGAGTCCAACCAGAAAGGCCTGATCATCTATTTCCAAACAGTCAGCCACTGAGAACCCTGCAGATGAGTCAAAGCCAGCTCAACAGCAACTGCTCTTTTAAGATGACTTTAGAAAGGCAGCTTGGTGCCTTCTTTAGGGGAGCCTGCTGTGGCGCTGTGGGCTAATGCATCAGACTGCAAAGCTGTTTGAACTGCAAGGTCAGAGGTTCAAGCTCACCAGTCACTCCTCAGAAACCCTATACAGGGTTGCTGTGGGTTGGAACTGACTCGACGGCAATTAACAACAACAACAAACTTTTAGGATAACAGCTTTGTATTTGACTGTTTGAAGAGCATTCAGTAGATTTTTAGAGTATGAATGTAATATTGTTGTCAACTGGCCCTTCCCAGAGTTTGGACCTCTTTACTTTCTCCTTCACTACGCAGAGCACTATCGCCAATTCAGCTTTAGAACAGGGCGTCATTTCCCACTGGAGTTGCCTGGCAACAGGTTCCCTGCTGTTCTTACCTTACTTCTTTGCAGAGCAATTAAGCCAACCTACAACAAATTCGGGCCATCTGTCTAAGTCCAAGTCTTAGTCATTACCATAGAAATGGGTGAAAACCCCATTGTCAATCAAAGCATTTAGGATGGTGGCTACGTGTTCTTGAATCCTAATGAATCCAGTTTGGGATTTCATTCATCCCTGTGCCAATAAAGATTGGGATTGGGTTACACTGTGCACCCAATTACAGTAACTATTCCCGGTGCTCACCAAGCATGAGTCACAGTGTGTAATCTTCATATGGAAAATGGCAGGGAGAGACAACTCATTAAACTTTAATGAGCGCACATCTCCTTTGCCATGCTATCAAAATATTTTGATGAGAAAAGTATATTTTATTAAAAGCAGACATAGAATTTTCCTCTGCCTTCCCATGTGTTGATTGTTGTAAGATGCTTTATGTTAGGGAAGAGCTTTCAGCATTTAAATTCCTTATGAACAGCTGTTTTTTGAGAGGACTGGAGCAAGAGAGGGAATTCAACTGGTCTTCAGGCTTGGAACTGGTTTGTCTAGAATCTGTAGCCTAAATGTGAGAACAGAGTACTGGTGGGCTTCTCTCATTTGTAGTTTGCAGTGAAGGTTTTTGTTTTCATGTCCTTATGCAAGTCAACTTATGATAGTAAGGAAGCCAGAAGAGCACCTGCAGCCCCTTTTGTTAGGCAGAATAGCATAGTGACTTAGAGACACTAAAGGCAGTCCACCTGGGTCCAACCCAACCCAGGATGTCTTGAGCTAATTATTTCACTACCTCTTATATAAAACAGGGCCAATAATAGTCCTGGCCTCATTAGAATGCTAGGAAGGATAATTGAAACAACCCACAGAAAGCGTTTAGCACAGTGCTCTCATACTCAGTAAAGACCAACTCTCGCTATTAGCTAATGTCACTCATGCCTACTTAATGCTGTTTTCTTCTTT